TGAAAAATATACGAAATAATATAAATGTGATTGATTTCTTTCTGAAAATCGACAACTATGAATCTATGAACTCTTCCGGACACATAAACGGTACATTGTGAAACAGGAAATTGTAGAGAAAATACGCCCTATAACATAGGATACAACATTTTAATGAACAGTGCTTTCCATAAAATCAATAAAATGAAAAATATACGAAATAATATAAATGTACTGATTTCTTTCGAAAATCGACAACTATGAATCTATGAACTCTTCCCGGACATAAACGGTACATTGTGAAACAGGAAATTGTAGAGAGAAATACGCCCTATAACATAGGATACAACATTTTAATGAACAGTGCTTTCCATAAAATCAATAAAATGAAAAATATACGAAATAATATAAATGTACTGATTTCTTTCGAAAATCGACAACTATGAAGCTATGAACTATTCCTGGACACAAACGGTACATTGTGAAACAGGAAATTGTAGAGAAGAAATACGCCTTATAACATAGGATACAACATTTTAATGAACAGTGCTTTCCATAAAATCAATAAAATGAAAAATATACGAAATAATATAAATGTAGGTACTGATTTCTTTCGAAAATCGACAACTATGAATCTATGAACTCTTCCCGGACACAAACGGTACATTGTGAAACAGGAAATTGTAGAGAGAAATACGCCCTATAACATAGGATACAACATTTTAATGAACAGTGCTTTCCATAAAATCAATAAAATGAAAAATATACGAAATAATATAAATGTACTGATTTCTTTCGAAAATCGACAACTATGAATCTATGAACTCTTCCCGGACATAAACGGTACATTGTGAAACAGGAAATTGTAGAGAGAAATACGCCCTATAACATAGGATACAACATTTTAATGAACAGTGCTTTCCATAAAATCAATAAAATGAAAAATATACGAAATAATATAAATGTACTGATTTCTTTCGAAAATCGACAACTATGAAGCTATGAACTATTCCTGGACACAAACGGTACATTGTGAAACAGGAAATTGTAGAGAGAAACAAGCTTTATAACATAGGATACAACATTTTAATAAACAGTGCCTTCCATAAAATCAATAAAATGAAAAATATACAAAATAATATAAATGTAGGTACTGATTTCTTTCGAAAATCGACAACTATGAATCTATGAACTCTTCCCGGACACAAACGGTACATTGTGAAACAGGAAATTGTAGAGAGAAATACGCCCTATAACATAGGATACAACATTTTAATGAACAGTGCTTTCCATAAAATCAATAAAATGAAAAATATACGAAATAATATAAATGTACTGATTTCTTTCGAAAATCGACAACTATGAATCTATGAACTCTTCCCGGACATAAACGGTACATTGTGAAACAGGAAATTGTAGAGAGAAACAAGCCCTATAACTTAAGATACAACATTTTAATGAACAGTGCTTTCCATAAAATCAATAAAATGAAAAATATACGAAATAATATAAATGTACTGATTTCTTTCGAAAATCGACAACTATGAAACTATGAACTCTTCCCGGACACAAACGGTACATTGTGAAATAGAAAATTGTAGAGAGAAATAAGCCCTATAACATAAAATACAATATTTTAATGAACAGTGCTTTCCATAAAATCAATAAAATGAAAAATATACGAAATAATATACATGTACTGATTTCTTTCGAAAATCGACAACTATGAAACTATGATCCCTTCCCGGACACAAACGGTACATTGTGAAACAGGAAATTGTAGAGAGAAACAAGCCCTATAACATAAGATACAACATTTTAATGAACAGTGCTTTCCATAAAATCAATAAAATGAAAAATGTGTGCAAATCGTACACAAAACAGTGCAAATCGTACACCGTATGTATTATCATTTTTTCTGATAGAATTTACAATTGCGTCACCGATAATTTTTACCCTACCGAAATCCAACATTTCTTTAAACTAATCTATTAATTTTAGATATATAATATCAAAAAATGCAAAAAGTTACCGAATTGTACGTATGTATAACCCAATAATAAAATAAAAAATAGGGTATTAGAAAATATGTTATATCCGCAACACTTTTTTGAAGTACCCTGTTTACTCTATAGTAATGTTAAAATGTGCTTCTTAACCTTGCCAATAACTTTTCTATTTAATATTTTGTTCTAAAAACGTTAAAAAACTTATTATGTAAAAAACGTCGTGTAAGGGATAAAGGGGAAAACAGCCAAAAGAGGAAAAACCGAAATGAATACCATGTTAAAGACCGAATATCATAGTAAAGATACAAAAATTTATTACTCTGTATGCGTTATTTTTTGGCCATCGTTTGTTATATTCAATTGCAATTTAATATGTGTTTGGCTTCCTTTCACTATGATCCCACTCGGCTTGTCTCGTGAGAGGTTTGCGTAAAAAATGGATAGAAAATGTCTCGCTCTCGTCTCGCTCTTGTCTTGCTCTCGTCTCGCGCTGGGCTCGTCAGGTCTGGACGCATCATAGACTGCCGGAGTGCTGACGTCACGAATGTCAAATTGATTTCCAAACAAGGTTTAGTTCTTTTATATTTCTATTGAGCTCTTCCAAATGACGTCACAAGTTAATATAAAATATAAAAAAAAAACAGGTGATTGCCGACAACCGCCGACTTGTGTCTGGTATTTTCAATACGCCTATGATAGTTGCGCATGTTGCAAAATCTGTGAATTTTTTATTAGTGGCAATCAAAGGTGGCAATTGAACAATACGGACATTTTTTTTGTATGTCATATGACGTCACAGGTGATATGAGTGAACAGTGCAGTAGATTGAAGCTAAAAACAACGGCGAATACAGATTCTGTGGGGAAAATGGGGAAACACCAGAGCACCTAGAGTGCGCCTCCATTGGTATATCTCCTAGAGACAACCATTGGTATACGACTGATATCGGAGATGGAGAACTAACCTCTCTAAAACCGTCTCAGATACTGGCTTATGTCAAAGCCCTGAAACTGTATGATGAGTTATAACTCCAGAAAGGGGGACACAATAGATCTATAAGGTCGCGGTGATTAACTTCCCCCCTCCCATATCATATTACGAACGTTCACTAGTTTTGAAGATGATGAGAACACTCTGTATAGCTGTCTTTGTTATCACCATTTATAAAACGCATCCTTTAAATTGTTTCATTACGCATTTTCTGTATTATTAGCAACGACAAATGAGTTACAACATATCCAGACGTCATTTGCGATAGCTTTATACACAGTGGTGGAATACCTACCTCGACATATAAGTTACATTAATTAACGTAAAAATTACTAACAAAAAATTATTTTGAATTACGTATATATATAAAACTCGATTTATCAAACTAATAAATAATAAGTACACACTTTTATTACTATAGATCTTTACTTGAAAAAAATTCGGTGCCGCCACTGTATTAAGTAATGTCTTTTGCAAATGGAAAAAATATAAGCATGTTTTGTAAACTAAAATAGAAAGAATTTTAAGCAGTTTATAATTAATAATAATTGTTCCCGGTACAGATGAACTAGAATGAGTGCATATAATTAAGAAATTCGGGAGATTCCTAATAAGCAAAAAGGTTTTCTGATTTCATAACCAAAAACATAATATCATAATTAGTTCTGATTGCGTAGACATCGTAAATTTAGTAGCTATTTCCAATTTACCGTTTATAAGAAAAAATATTTATTTATTTATTTGTATCTACAAACACTTTGAAATTAATATTAAAGGTTTGTTCATACAACATGTCAGTGATGGCTCAGTGTTGTACCTCTACATTTTAACGTAATCATTAGTTATCTACAATAAGTATTTTTGACATCAAACATATTTGTTTTTATTATTTTAGATTTATAACTAGATATAGTATAAGTTAGTTAAAATTATTAGTCAAGACTTATATCCATACATATTTTCTATATCAAAAATTTATATTCATTTCATCTTCGTTATACGATACTAATTAATTATGTTAAACTTTTTCTGTTTTTAAGATTTTATATCACTTACACCTCATGAAATCTCTCATTAAGGGGGGGAGATGTTGTGTCCCACCCTAGATTTAATATTTAATTGGATTATAATAGTAGTTTTCAGAAAGTTGTAACTGTATCAAGTTACGCTGCTGGGGTAAGTGGTAAACACACAGCCAGAGACAGTCGGCGATTTTATAGCTAATTTTACGAGTATTTTTAAACTAATTGTTAGTGTAGGTTCTGAATTGTTGAATTTTTTTTATATATAATAAAGTATTTAAGAAGAAAAATAGTGTGATTTATATTAAAAAAAACATCAACAATAAGAAAAAACGGATTCTACAAGTATGGAAGACAAACAGTCTCTAAAATCAACGCATCAGTTTGATTCCTCGACATTGGTGGCAGCGGTGGGATACAACATCAATCCTGTTGCGTCGATTTTAGTTGATCAATCAAAATTCAAACGAATATTTCTGCACATATAAACAAAAATTGATTCCATGGTGTTTTTAAAATGGCTGCGAGTGACAAATCAGAGACATTTTGTCAAAAAGCAATTTGAGATTTAATTTTTTTTTGCAGGAAGCAATTCGAGAAAACGTCGATTTTGGGTCAAGATTTTTTTACAGAAGTCCGAGATACTACTTTCTTTTCGTTTCTTTTGATGGTTCCTAAAGCCTTGTCTCGAGCATTAGGCAAATTAATATACTTACAATACTTTTAGGCAACTTAATACAAATTTGTCGTCTTTTTGTTAACGCAAAATAGCACACCCAAACTTCAAAATTAACTAATGATGATAAGTTTTGAATGAATCAAAATGTTTCTGTTCAACTAAAATTGATAAACTTAAATCGAAAACACGGTTCACAAGCATATTTTTGTTCGATTTTGCTTAATCAATAAAAATCGTTCAATCAAAATCTTGCCGAAATATTGAACATGTTTCTTTTGAGTTTCTTTAATAAATAATTTTATTTTATTAAATAAAATACCACTTTAATGTTCTTAAGTGTCTTTTATTTCGATAGGCAATGACATATTTAAAGCTAGTGATTGATTTAAATAAATTTGTTCAAGCGTATTTTGGTGCTAGTGTATTAACTTTGGCGATGTATTCTTCTTTGGCCTTGCTTGAAGCTAACCCTTTCTTTCCATTCCATGCGCTCCACTTGGCAGCTGCAACTGAATCACCTGGCTTAGCTGCAATTGGTATAAAAAATAATTAATTTCTAATAAGTTTTCCACACAAGTTTTTAGAAATTTAAAGAATATAGAAGAGCCATGGCCAAGTAATGGCCTCTAGGGCTTCACCTCGCCAAAATTACCATCGGTTGAAAAAGTGTTAGGTTTAAAAGATTTGTACTGCATACGTTACAAATAACATCAGAATTAGATTATCGTATTTATATTTAATAGGCGAGAATACTTTGTGTGTGTGCTTTGAGCAACTTATTAGTTACTACACTACACACTTTCATTTTGGCATTACTAAATGCTTAATTTTATTGATAATCACACTAATTACTAAGTCACAGATTAATAGGACAATATCAGAAAATATGAGAAATTAAACACAATCGTATGTCTGTAATATTTTATCTTGTATCTAATATTGCAATCCATTGTATTTTTTGTGTCTCCTCAACCTTATGCATGTGGGGTCACAATAAAATTTATGAAATTTTTAACATTTTAATATAACTTTATTCTTTATTGTTTTAATTTATCGTATATTAATTGTTATATTATATTAATCAGGGTTTATTGTACTGTGAACTGGTCAAAAGTAATAATGAAACTAAAATTTATGCAATTTTTTTTTAAATATACCGTATGACTACCATATCGTTGCTTATAATGTTAGTTCATTGCTTTTTTATCGAATTAGTTTGAAATTTTCTTGATTGCAGAATCAATATGGCAGATTTTTGAAGTTACTGCTAACAATCATGTCAAACCGTCTCCTAGATATTATAATCACATGAGAAAATCAACCGGTATACCGGGTGCGTCTCAAAAGTGTCTCACCCCTATAACTTTTTTATTTTTTCAGATAAGAAAACGAGATTTGGTATGTTAGTATATGACTAAAATTAGGACTGATTGACATATTCAATTGTTTTCGGTCACTTCCTGTTTTGCCGGAAATGACTACAACTTTTGATTTTTAAATGGCACCCTCGGTAATGACATATCATATGTCAACTTTTGATATTTTTGCATATGGTTTATTTGAAATTGTAAAATGCGGTTCATAACGACAATATGACTCGAAATACCAAATGTGTGGTATAAAATTATTCGTAAAAAATGCTTTTTCCAAATATGCTAATGAGCCACCCTCAATGGAACCATTTGAAAAAATTGAGATATGATTAAAAATTCGATTTGGACATTTTAACCGGCCAGGACAGGACTCTAAAAACGTTAGACAATCAAAACTATTACTGGGCCATGGCTCTTCTTCTTTCCAAGACTGCTTGATTAAAAATTGGTGTTTTTAGCACTCTAGATTGAAATTTAAAATTCGATTTTTTTTAAGAGAGAATGTCAAATGACATATGATACGTAATTCTATTCAGAGTGTCATTTTCTATCGGATAAAGAAAACATTTCCGAGGGTGCCATTTAAAAATCAAAAGTTATAGTCATTTCCGGTGAAACAGGAAGTGACTATAAAACAATTGAATACGTCAATCAATCCTTTTGTCATATAACAATCCAATTCATGTCATATACTAACACACCAAATCTCGTTTTTTATCTAAAAAAATAAAAGAGTTATAGGGGATGAACCACTTTTGAGACGCACCCGGTATATTATTCTCCCACGCTTGAATAAATTTCCGCCAAAAGACCAAAATTTCCGCATGAGCACCTCTACTATGAGGAATTACTTACGTATATTCGTATCCCCCACAGTACTCTGTTTGTATAATGCATAAATTTCCAGCATATCCGAATCAGGGGGTCTTTTTGAGAACTTTTTTACCTTCTCTGCAGCAACATTGAATTTCTAAATACCAGAAAAAAAAAAGAAATTACATTCTAACTATAATACATAACCATTTTATATACTTGTCACTAACGTTTTTATAAAAAATTACCATTTATTTTTTTCAAGAAATTACCTCTTAAAGTTTTTTCCAATTTGTTTAAATCACCCTGTATATTTTTTACATTTTTTGAAACTATTATTATCGTGTCAAAGACGACTGAGAAATGGCATTTTATGATACTTTTGACGATATCAATCTCTAGAATTCATTTGCTAAAACTTGTCAAAAATAAATCACTAATTATAGAAACATGAAAAAAGGGTAGAACACAAGACCACAAATCTATTTCGAAAAAAATATTTTTTCTCGAATTTTAAACTACACCGGTTAAAAATCTTAAATTTTAAACTACACTCAATATAAAAATAAATTAAAACAATCTTAATGCCAACTGGCAGTAAGCGCCACTAAAAAAAAATGAAGAAGAGTACGGGACAAATAAATGACGTCTAGAGCTTCACCTCGCCAAAATTATTATCCATTGTCGTTCCTCAGCTGTCTTTGACACTGTTTTTTTTTCTTATGGTACCTTCATATACATTGTATGCAAAAAAACCCACACCAAACGGTGAACCGTTTTTTACAGAAGTCTATGATATTATATACACCCCCTATATTTTGTATTTAATTTATTATATTACATCATTAAATAATCATATTCATCAATAATTTAATGAACAAAAATATATTTATTAAAATATCTATACATACCTCGTCTAAAGACATTTTAAACTGAACTTACAATAAAGTACCACAATTTTTCTATATATACAATACCTTATCGATTTCAATCGATTATAACTTCATAAAGTTTGACAACATAATATGCACTACATAATAATTTTGACAACATAAATGTGTATACTATGTAGCAGGAAGTCGAATAAAAAATAACGTATAATTTTACACGTCCTTAGATATCTATGTAAAATGTAAATATGCATGCTAGAATAAATAGATACAGTTAAAGTTTTATACAGTTTTATATACGTGTACATTTTTATTATTTATTCTTATATTAAAATTTTATTATGACCACCTATAATATAAATGGAAGTATGCAAAAAAAAATATTCTAGGGTGTTTCTTAAAAAAAATACCAGTATTTTCTGAGGTGGTAAATCTGCATTAAAGAAACATACCGGGTCGGACGTCGGACGGGACATAGGAAATTCCATGTAAATTTTAATGAGGTCAATTATTGGCTTCCCTAATTATTTTAGAGAATAAATTCTATTTAGGTTTATTGAAGAGCACTAAAACCCACATTCAAAACAATAACTAGATATTTTTGATTAGCTCGTTTACGAGATATCGCCGATTTCTTTTTAAATATTTCTCCTTTCTTATGGCCCTGTATTTACTTATGAGCACCAGTCAAGGTAAAAGATAACTGTCAAATGAAGTTATCATTTCAGAAATTTACCTATTTAGTGCTTTATTATTATTGAAAACTCATTCCTACATCGGAAATCTTAAAGATGTATTTATAAATACAAATTAATATGAATTAAAGTAAAATAAAGTAATCAATTACAAGGTTAATTATAGTATTATTACAATATTTAATAACTTATTAATTTAGGTACTATTAAATTGTTCGAACTTCAGGATTTAAGAAGATGTTCAAATATTCCTCCATCGACTGCTAGACAATAACCCAGGCGATCATAAAATTCTCTTCTTACATTCGCTAGTTGGTAAACTGAAATTCTATTGCATTCGGCAGAAACAGCATTTTTTAACTCGTGTAGATTTGGGTATTTTTTATCCTTGTATATCTTGTTTTTTACATGGCCCAGAGAAGGAAATGATTTGGAGAAATATCAGGAGACCTTGCTGGCCAATTTACTGTATGTTTTAGGCCAATAACGCTTTCGTTAAAACTATTGTCTAAATATTCCTGAACAGTCAGGGTACTATGTGCCGGGCAGCCATTTATTTGGTACCAAACTTCCTGATTTTCCCTAGCGGCATCATGTAAAACAGGTAAAATATGATTTTCGGGTAGTTCCAAATAATATTCCGAATTTAAATTTCGCGTGTTTTTGTGTCCGAATATCCCTGCCCAAACATTTACTTTCTGTGGATATTGCGTCCTTGTTTCGACAAACCTGTATTGGTTTTCTTTGTTCCAATATCGATAATTTTGAACATTGGGTTCATTATTTAAGGTAAACGTGCATTCGTCAGTGAAACATATGTTTTTTAAAAATTCCTTATCCGTGTTTGCTCTTTCCATCATATCAAAACAAAACGGCTGCCGCCGTATTTCGTCCCCATCTCATAGCTCTTGGTGCTTTTCATATTTGAAGGAATAGTATTTATGTCGTTTAAAAATTCGAAACGCTGTAGTGTGATCTATTCCTATTTCATCCTCAAGTTTCCTTGTGCTGATCTTTCCATCGTTCTCTTTCACGCACAATAAAACTTCCAAGTCGGTATCATTTCTTGCATCTTCTCTTTGTTCCTGCCTTGCTTCACATCTGTAGTTATTTATTAGGGTACCTTTGGTCTCAAATCTCTGGATATTCCTTGCGATTGTAGATTTTCCAGGTATAGGTCTATTCGGATACAGAGCATTCTGGGGTACGTGTTGTGCGACTCAATTTGACCGCATTTTCAAGCTCCAGAGGAGAGCTGTTCGATATTCACTGGGACTAAACAGCAGAACTCATTGCCGGGACTTTTTTAAAGAATTAAAAATATTGACTCTTCCTTCCTTATTTATATTTGAATCCGTTTGCCTAATACGTAAACATGTATCAGCTTCTCAAGAAAGGCCATCTCACACTTATCCACTCAGGAACGCGGAGCAAGATCTTTATCTACCTACCCCACGCTCAGAGTTAGTTAAAAGTTAAATATTATACAACTCGAAAAAAATGCACAATCACCTGCCTGCCATTTGAAATCAAATCCATAACATCATTTTTTTCATTTCGCAAAGCATTGAACTCTTATTTACTAGACAAGGCTTTCTACGCCGTAAATGAATTATATTTTGAAAATCGAATTTGATCTTGTAAACACTGGTCTAATGTTTGCTATTGCTATATTTACTAATGACATCGAAATGAATTTATTTAGAGGTCATTGATATTTTACTATAAACTAGCTAAATATTTTTGAATATTATTTTTATTTTTTTTGTTCTTTGACATTGTAAACATTTATAAATGTTTATTTTAACAATAAGACTGACAATATTATTTGTATTATCTTTTGTTTGTTTGTTTGTGTACCTTGTTTGTTTACTTTGTTTGTTTAGTTTACCTCTGTCTACAAATTGAAAAATTTTTTGACAATAAAGGCATTTATTTATTAATTTATTTATTTAGTTTATTATTAGTGAGAAGTCGAAAAACTTATACGAGACCACCTACAACAATTTTGAAACCTGGGTCAAAGAAAAACGTATTGAGAATTTCACAGAAAAGGTATTGCTAGCCTATTTCCTGAAGTTATTCACTACCTTAGCCGTCAACTCTGTGGAGATGGATGTCTCAAAAAAGTTGGATGCCTCTTGTATTCATTTTAATAATTTAAATAATTGTACCTTTAAGATTTATAATAAATAAATATTTTCATTGTTTCTAACGTTTCATTTTTTACTTTTAGGCACTAGTGCCTGTACAAGTGTCACTTTTAGATACTAGTGCCTAAAAGAATGTCATTTCGAATCTCAAGTAAATATCAAAAACCGAAAAATTTCGAAACGCTTTCACAGAAAGTGATTTTTACTCCCGAAAGAACATGCTATTTTTTTTTCAAACGCCACAAATAATTTTTAAACAATTTCACAAAATGCCCCTTTAGAACTTTTTCTTTAATGGCCATAAGCGGGAGTAAAAGACCAACCGCCCGAACAAACACTAGAGGTGCCACCGGTTATCAAATGGTGTAAAAATTGCGAAAATTTAATCATCTAATTTTAACAGAAGGGGTCGCTCTTAACTTTTTTAATTTTAATTCAATATTCATTGTTTTTAAACTATATTATGAGACTTTGTTGTATTTTGTGAATGTATAAATGTTTTCTTAGTATAAAGTTGCATTATATTAATTTAAATTATATTGCATACCTACATATTTAAAATTCAAATATTATGACATATATCAAAGAGTAGATAAGACAAGAGACGACAGTTCGCGCGGTACCTTTCATGTTTGAGTGGTGGGGAGAGTGACCTCGTCTCGCTTGTCCCTTTAAATTTTCGTAATTTTTTCGCGGGAAGTTTGAAATAGACTATTATTAAAACTTGCCTGTATAGCTTATAAATAGTTACTGTATGGGTAAAGAAATAAATAGAAATGAAAAAAAAATGAGTTTTCTAAATATTATATAAAATACATTATAATTAGAAACATGTTTGTCGGGGAATAAAGATAATAAAAGTAATATTTTGTATATCGTTGGTAAACAAGATAAAGTGACCAAGTCGATTTGTAAAAAATGTTTTATTTACTTGTATTTTTTTTACATATGGACTTGAACAAGTGTAATATCACAATGTGGAGTTTATGTACAAAAAAATAGAGTTGCTCAATTTTTTTGTAAACATATATTACAAGCTTCTAACCATGTCTTTGATCTATGGATTACATTTAGTTTAATAACATAATTATATAGTATATTTCTATAAAAATACTTTTCAGGATCCTTTGGAAAAGAGTGAAATATTATGTTTGTCGAAAAATAAGACCTATTTTTGCAGTCTTTATAAGCACACACATTGCCACCATCTCGTCTTTTCCTGCTCTACTCGTGTCCTGTTCAGTATTCATATTTAACAATAATTACAAATTGGTACGCAACAAAAACGATACTAAAATTAAACCTTAAAAACTCTCAAAACGATAATATATCGAAAAACTCTTAAAACACACTTTAAAAAGGCAAAAATGCAAGAAACAACTAATCAGATTTGTTTATGTTTAAGCCTGATTAGCACAGCTGATTAGCGTCCTAAAATCATAGGTTAGAATAAATAAAATACGCCGTTGTCAGATTTTCAGATTTTATCTGTTTATCTTTGAAATCGATCAACTTAGTTAGTAATTCTGTTTCTTTGATATTATCAGTACATTGCGAAAAAAGAACCTAAACTAAAAATTTACATTTCCGTATTAACATACGTTACTTATATCCTTCTTATATTATTAATTTATTTTCAGAAAATCTTGTTTATTTTTCAAAGAAATATACTTGGCAACAAACAAAATGGGACTTAGTGGGCCCTTTAAATTCTAATATATCTGCGTCTCTCTCGCAAAATTCGACTTCTTTGTTCACTGTCGTCTCTTGTCTTATCTACTCTTTGACATATATGTCAGTTGCCGTCTAAAATGTGATCTTGATAACAAAAACTTAGTTTTTGTCAGAAATAGTTCAAATCATGTCAAAATATTAAAATTTACAAGTTATAATTAGATATTTTATATTATTTCAAAAACAAAAACATAATGGTACAGCGTAATGTTGATATGCAGGTCCAAAACAAAAAGTGCCGTTTAAGATTTCAGTTTTCGTTGTCAGCCGCGGAAGTTTCAGTGATTTTAGTGTTGTCGGATATTTTTATTTGTGAAATAGAAATATTGCGTTTGGATTGCAAAACTAAAAGTATATAGAAGTTTTATTGCAATGTAAGTAAGCATTTATCAATTTTATATTTTACTTTTTTCATACCTACGACAAATATACATATATTGAAATTTTATATTTCGTTTTATTTAAAAAATGTTAGAAAACAAGCTTGTAATCCTGAAATTGACATAATTGTTATGTAATATATTCCATTTAAATATTATTTACTTTCATTTCTTAACATGACAGACGAAGTTCTAAAGAGGGATGTTTTGTGAATACTTTGTATATTTTTATTGAGAAACTATGGTCACGCTCGTTGAATTTGACACTTATGTCAGTTTAATAATATATTTTCGTACTTTTATGCTTAGGCGTAAAAATGCTTTACTTTATGCCTAGGCGTTAAAATGACATTTTTATATTGTCAATTACGTGGCAAAAATTTTTTGTGACGTTTCAAAAAAAATAAATAAATTTGTATTTTTAAATTTAAGTAGAGTGTACTATTTCCTTTAATAAAAAAAAACAAAATCAATGTCTTAAAAATTTGTATTGATACATGTTAAAATATTTGGTACTACCTATAATAATAATAAATTGATATTTTAGACCATAAATTCTGTGGGTGGCATGTTGATTGTAGCTGCCAAAATGGGTCTAGGATGGTCGTACCTTGTTACAAAAACCCTAATAACTTTGACACCTGCAGGTTCAAGTTCCGCTACACTTGTTTCCGAAGAAGTTTCACTCATAGTTTCCTGTACGCGAGTTTCCATTTTGTATGATAAACTTGGCGGTATTAAAGGGACCTGTAATATATATAAAAACAAATATATAAAAATCAGTTTTTTAAACATTAAAAATTTATATTTTTGATAGTCTTTGTATATTTTTGAATGTTAAGCACATAAACACATACAATACTATACGATCGAAAAAAAACGGCGTCGGGATTGGCCTTGAAGTAAAAACCGCTTGTATATTATATGTAAAACAGGGGTAAAACATTTTGGCAAACAAACTTGGCATCATTTTTTCGATCAGACGGTAGATGTAACAGAATTCTGAACAACTTTTGTCTATAATATTTCTCGACATATTAAAATTAATAATTTTTTAATTTCTATATAAGATTTCAATTACTAAAACAACATTTTTAATGTAATTCATAAATACAATTTGATCGAAAAAAATGGCGTCAGTGATGGCTTTGAAATGAAGATCGTTGTCATTTTAGATGTAAAATTACATGTGGAATTTCATTGCTCGTCATTTCCAAGCCTTTTGGATGCCGTTTTTTTTCGATCATACGGTACGTATAAATACATGTTTGCGAAACAATTGCTCAAATAAGTACAAATAATCTACTAATACACACACAATTGATTTAAAAATATGTAATAGATATAAACATTTTTTAAAAAATGAATAAATAATTTTTGAACAGTAAGGTTAAAGTTGTAAATTCTCAAATATATTTACGATTTAGATTAAATTCAAAAAAATATTTATTACACACACGCACTATGGTTTTACCTGTTTGGCAGCATTTTTTCTCTAATAAACATCATATTTCATGTCAATATAAATTATGACAGACACACCCAGTAACGCAATAATTATTTATTTATAACGCGATCGGCGTCACAGTAGGCACAGAAATAAATTCGTAATTTGCTTACGCATTTTTTTATATTGCAGTTTTTATTTTTAAGAATAAGAATAACTTCAAATAATCATCAGCTAATAGTTGTTATTGTAAAGTATGTATATGATCAATTTTCAAAAGTACATCTCGTAGTACAACAATATTTTTTGTTTATACTATACCGCGAACTCAAACTTAAAAAATCAGAGAAATATTCCATATTTTTTGATGAAGTCCCTCATTTTTACTTTATATTTTCGGCATCCTTAAGGTGCGTTCACACCGGCTGCGCCGCGCCGCGCAAAACATTTTTTTAAGATGTACTTTTGAAGTGTTTTTTAGCGCGCAGAAAAGTATATGTTAAAAAAATTATTCTTTTTAACATATTTGCGCGGCGCAGCCGGAGTGAGCGCACCTTTAGGAATCAGAAGCTGTAATATAAACTGATAAACTTACTGTAATGATATATGTTGTCAAGGTGTAAAAAATTGGATTCGAATGGAATGTCACAGACAATCCTGTCAAAACCTTGTTAGGATTTATGTTCTCTAAGGTTAAGATGACGGTAAATTTTGGTCCCAAACCCAAAACCTACAACAGAATTTATCATAAAATAAGGAACAATACCTATAAACAAAGATAATCTATATAAAGTTAAGAAATTATAGGACACCTGTGCCGATAACTTTATATTTTCTTTTTCATTTCCAACCCCAGACTGGTCACTCAGATTCTGAACCAAAGCTCGTGCCGTGGTCAATCGAAGCCTCAGAAGATCTTGCTGAAAAGTTTGATGTATTTCTGAAATAGTTTTAAGTATTTTGATTTTATTTTTAAATAAATGATAGGTACTTTATCAAACTTTGAAGGCTTTACATACCTACAGCGCTCTGTCTTTCGCGCAGACTCTGTTCCAGAAATAGTTTACTCCTTTTGGGCAAAGGTAATGGCTTTCCTTGCAATACAGGCACGCTTTCGTGATTTCTATTAGAAAAATCAGCTGTCCGTTTCAGTATTTTGAAACTTATTGTCCCACCTGTATAATAGAAAAACGTTCAGAAATTTCTACGAGCCCTAACAACTATATGTTGGGACAAGGTCTTTTTTGCAATAAAAATAGTAATTTGTTAAAACGACTCAATTTATTTTGTTTATTATTCTAAATTCAAACATTACAATATGATCTAGACACATTTTCTATATTTTTATAAAGCATTTTTTTTGCAAAGAAATCACTTTTGATAATAGCTTATTTTGCCAAAATCAAGCCAAATTTGCTGACAAGTATATATTGGGACAGCACAACAAGAAATTTGTTTAATACGGAGTTACATCACCTTTCGCCGTAACAACTGCCTGAACTTTTAATGGCATTGTATTTACCAAAGATTGGTACATTTGAGGAGAAAAATTATCCCAAATTTCCTGCAGTTTTGTCCGCAAATCAAAAATTGTTCGTTGAGGGTGGTTTCTTAAATATTGCTTCATTTTATGCCACACAGTTTCTATAACATTGAGGTCCGGACTACTTGCAGGATAGGATAGAACTTTTATATTATTATTACTGAACCAATTTTTAGTTAATTTTGCTGAACGGCACGATGCGATTTGTTGAAAAATATAGTCTTCGTTTGGAAACAATTCTTGAGCACTAAAAAACCTCTTGCTGACATGCAACCCCAAACCATAATCCCCTTAGGAAATTTAACAACCCTCTTTAAGCAATCTGTATGAAAGGCTTCTGCTTTATTTCGTATTATTCGTTTTCGATGATCTCCAACGCAAACATCAAATTTAGACTCATCGCTAGATATGACCTTATTCCAATCATTTTGTGTCCACGATAATTTAGATTTTGCCCAATTGTAGCGATTTTTCTTTTGAATTTCTGTCAGTAGCGGTTTTTCTTTGGCCTAAATAAGAATTTGTATCAATAATCTTCAGGTAATTGATTATCCACACAAAATAAAGTTTACCTTGTAAAACCCCAGACCGCATATATGGATATATTTTCGGCAACATTCTCTTGATATATTTAATCCAGTTACAGTATTCCATTTAACTGTTACTTCGCGAAGAGTACTCGCTAGAGTACTCTTCGCAGACTTGCAAATTTTTACTAAATTTCGTAAATCTTTCTGAGATACAACTTTTGGCCTTCCCGAACTTTTACCTCTAACGCCTACACTGGCAGATTCGCCGTATTTTTTTATTATATTAAAGACCGTGGTTTTTGGAATATTTAAATCATCAGAGATTTTTCGAATTGTTTTTCCCGTACTGTATTGACGAATGATAATTTCGCGTAGTTTTTGATTTGTAGTTTTTCCACGGACCATTACTTTGGATTAAATTAACAAAATTGAAAATTAAAAAAGTTAAAATTATTTACAGTAAGTCTCACTACTCAAAGTATCGAGTCACTTACAAGCTGTCAGTGCTGAAGTAAACAGTTTGCGACATTTGTGACGTTTATAGCAAAGCCGCCTATGATATTAATTATTTAAAAATACTTGTCCCAACATTTAGTTTATTTATCTATTTCAGTCTTTAGGATACAAACGGAACAAAAGTCCAAAACTAGTATCCTGATATTACAGTTTACAATAATTTTCCATTAACAATATTATAAGTTATAAAACAAGTAACATCTACAATATATTTAGATTTCTTAATTAATTAATACAAAGCATAGAGGTAGTGCGTTTACAGGTCCCTGTAGTCTATATATACACAGTATCACAGGACAGGAGATCGGTCTACTCTAACAATTTCAACTTAAGCCTATTCTTAAAGGTTAGTAGATTTTGATTGAAAAAATCTAGTTCAGAATCAGAACAATACAAGTTAGCAGCCCTAACCATCCTCACCAATGGTGCATTCTGGTAATAATTGGTCCTACAATATGGAACCCAAAAGAGGTCATGACCCCTCAGCGCACGGACAGGCACATTAATCTTAACTCTCGATAGGATATTTGGAGAGCTAGACAGATTATTAGTGATCTTAAACAAAGTTAAAATGTCAGACAGAGTACGTCTCTTTTCCAATTCAAAGAATTTTGAAGCGCCGCCGTATCTCTGAGTAATCATGATGTGCTACGTGGAGTGCGATTTATAGCCAAGGAATCTCAAAAAAATTTCTTTGTATTTTTTCCAGTCTCTCAACGTTATTTCTATATACAGGGCTCCATATGACAGATGCGAATTGTAGTTTACTAAATACATATGAGTAATACAGAGTCAAAATCGTTTTGGAGTTATTGAAATCAACACATTGTCTTTTAATGTATCCAAGGGTCCTATTACAATCATTAACCAGTTTGTCAATATGGAGTTGAAAAGTCATTTTAGAGTCAAACAGAATCCCTAGATCTTTTATATGGGTAACTCTGTTTAAAACAGAACTTCCAAGTTTATAATTATAGTTAATGATTGTAGATGCCTGAGAGAACGACAACACAGAACATTTGTCAGGATTCAAAATAACTGATTTTCATTGCAAAAACTCTCGATCAGCCTCTCAAGACTAGCTTGTAGAATTTCACAATCTGACATGGAATTAACTCTGAGAAAGATCTTCAGATCATCAGCGTAGCAAAGGAACAGGCAGTCATCAAAACATAGCGTTATACAATTAATATACATTACAAAGAGAAGGGGCCGAGGTGAGAACCCTGTGGAACCCCCTGATGACGGGGAGAATGTACCCGAGCAAAAGCCCAAAAGCGCCACAAACATAGATCTATTGAGCAAATAGGACTCAAACCATCTCAGCAGATCTCCACAGACTCCCATCTCCCCAGCACCTGAATCATAATTTCATGGCTGATCTTATCAAATGCTTTGCTGAAATCTGTAAATATGACATCAACTTGACAAAACGAGTCAAATGCTTCATATATGTATGTTGAGTATTCCATGAGATTTAGTTCTAGATTCCTTTTTTTAAGAAAACCATACTGCTCTGGTATAATATCAGCGATCACAAAATTGAAAATATATGGGTAGACTAGCTTTTCAAAAAGTTTGGAGAAGGTACATAATTTGCAGATGGGCCTATAATTCTTGACGTCACACTTCTTGCCTTTCTTATAGATGGGCGTGATGGCAGAAACTTTCCATGTGTCTGGAAATACTCCAGAAGAGAGAGACTGGTTAAAAAGAAGTGTTAGTGGTATGCAAAGCGAAGCCGAGCATTTTTTTGCGAATATGGCTGGGATGTTATCAGGGCCCGCCCCTTTTTTTTCATCTAGCCCCTCGAGAACTTTTTGGACCTCATCTACGGTTAACAACACACTAGACAATGACTTATTACTGGTTTGACAATACCTTTGAGACCTCTTTATTGCTAGCGACCTTGGTACATACACACTTTGAAAAAAATCGCAAAACAACTCACAGATCTCGGCTCCATCCCTCGCTACCCGATTCCCAAACCTCATCTCCCCTGGAGTCCCCGTATTTGACCTCTTTTTTGACACAAATTGCCAAAATTTTTTATTGTTGTTAGGTATGGATACATAAGATTGATAGTCACTATTAATGCATCTTCTACTCTGTGAGCGCAATAATCTAAAAGCATTGTAAAGACTTTCGTCTTTGCTAATTTTCCATTTTTTGTGTATTTTATTTTTTCTTAGAATAAGTTTAATAGTATTTTGAGAGAAATAAGGTGGAAATTTATTATTTATTCTTTTTAGGGGGACATTGTTTTGTATGGTTTTGTTCAAAGTTTCATAAAATACTTTGACATTCTCATTAATGTTTTTAGAGTTGAGCAAGTCTCGCCAGCTGAGAGAATCCAGCTCAGCATTTATGTTGATATAATTGGCCTGGTTAAAGTTTCTCACATATTTCATGTTAAGTTTTTCCTTTAAGTTGCAATCAGGACAGTTAAAAAGGAACTCTAAAGAGGGGTGATCCACATTCACAGACAACAGAGGATGGTCCGACCGAACTAAATTGCTTATATAAAAATTGTTAGAAAACACTAGGTCTAAAAGTCTATTATTTGTATTCTGGACATTATTGAACTGCATAAAACTATAATGAGAAAGAGTCTCCAGCAAGTCGCAATATTTTGGGGGTACATTAAATGGTTCCAAGTGACCATTGTTTTCAAACCAATTGACTGTAGTATAATTGAAGTCACCACAAATTAAGATAGGGCAGTTTTTTAATTTATCTAGGTTTAGTTTTAATTTAGTTAAAAAGCATGTATAATTAACATCTTCGTGGTGCGGCAAATAGACACAGCACAGATAAATCTTAAAGTTACCAACCGTTAAAAGCACCCAAATGTCTTCTCCATCACTGTGAAACTCCTCAAGTAGAATGGGGTTAAATTTGTTTTTGATCACTATGAAAACACCACCACCATCACTTTTCTTGGAACATGTAGTTATCCTATCCCGTCGAAATAAAGAGTACACCCCTGTATTGATAATTTCATTGTCCATCACAGAATCGTTCAACCAGGATTCCGTAACAAAGGTAACATCATAAGGGCAGCCGTCATAAGAGAGTCTAAGTTCCTTCAACTTGGTTCGACAACCTTGTATATTTTGAACATTACACAAAAGTGAGAAAGCCATCCTGATGGGGATCCCTTAAGTATAAAAACAGCACAGATATGAAGAAAAACTTATGTGCAGCTGGAAGTTACAAAATTCTCAGACTCTCTGCATTTAGGACTTTTAGGGACTCTGATGTGGGTGTTTTTTTCACATAAACAGAGCCATTAAAGGTGTAGGCACTTTGTACTAATTTTTGCTTCCTGGCATCACGAGCAAGCTTAAATAATTTTTGATTTTCAACAGTGAGGTCCTCGTTGAAGTAGATGTTACTTTCCTGTAGTCCACATGACTCCGCCGTGATCTTGCCAATCTCCTTGCGTCTTTTAAACAAGGTAGTTTTATCCGCCTTGTTGTTTAGTTTGACCACAATAGGGGAATTCTCCCTTTTATTAAGGGCATTGCACTGTTTTATTTGAAGACTGTCAAAACTTAAGTGATCAAAAATAGTCCTAGCCATATCAGTTACATTAGCATTTTGTCGATATTTAAGGCCCGTGATAATTACATTACATTCCTTCTCCTTTAGTAAGGATGTGTTTACCTTGCTTTCAAGTAATTTGATGTCTTGTTTTAAGTTGATGTTTTCCTTGTTGTGTGTTTTTAACAAATCTGAGGTGGCCTCGAGCTGCTTCTTTTGATCATCATGGCACTTTGAGATAAACTCCGCTGAAGCCCTAATGCTGGCAATTTCTTTATTTAGGGCATTAGTACTATTTGCTAGGGCCTGGGCATATGACTTCAGAGCCGATTCAGCCACCGATTTAATTTGCTGGAATTCCTGCTTTACATCACAGAGATCCTTGTTTAAGACACTACAGTTTTCCTGGAGATCCCTGAAGCTCTTCTGCAAAGTACTTATCTGCTTTATGGTGCAGATACAATCCTCTCACAAAAACATAACAGTGCGAGGACTGGGTCATTAAAGCCCTGATGTCACTTGATGTCATCTTAGAGCATCTCTACATAGGTTATTCCTGCATAGATCGCAGGGGCCTCCAAATAAGTCCTTAATGTTCTTATCCTTTGTGACATCCACGTAGACACAGCTTCTCTTGCATTTGAAACAAGTCCCCATGGTTTTCCTTTTTCGTCCCACCAACCTTATAGGTTAGATTAATTGTTATCCCGGATTTTCCTTTTAGAGTGCAAAATTCCTTAAAACTCTTACAGATGGATGTTAATTGCGCCGCAAACCAACTATATTCCCGTTTATTTAATTTTTTTTACTAGAAAAACCGCCAAAATCGAGTAGAAATTCAACACGTGTTGTGACGCTTAACTCTCTATCTTAACTATTGTCAGGCAAATTTGTCCTTTTATGAACAAAATCCGCTACTGTAAATATGGATTGATTTACAAATTCATAAAAATATTGTCAAGTTGTTTAGGATATATGGCTATGTTTATATTTAAAAAATTAAACATATATTTTTCAGTCATTTTCAAAAACCAGGGCAATAATTCCAAAATATGACCTTGTCCCAACATATAGTTGTTAGGGCTCGTATTCGTGTTTAAGCCTCCACATGACAGAGAAAACAGTTTAGTTTTGAATTATTATGGCCAGAGAACAACTGTCATTGTTCTTTATACAGACTATAGCAGGAAGCAAATAAGTGAAGGCCTTTAATTTATTTTTTTAGCCGACCAACCAACAGGTATGGTAGGTTATTAAGATCGGCAAAAAAAAAGTTTTTTTAATTTCACTCAAAATGAGTTATTTGGATCATAAATGACCTAAATACAAAATATTTTCATGGTATCTGTCTGTCCGTCTGTCCGTCTGTCGGTCTGTCCGTCTATCCGTCTGTCCGTCTGTAACACGATAACTCAAAAACCGCTAAACCGATTTTAACCAAATTTGGCACAAAAATACTGTGGCACCCGAGAATCTGGCCATTAGTTTTTGGTGGGAGTGGGGGGTTGGTAAGGGGTATGGGAGGGGGTTAAAATTTTTAAAAAATCGTAACTCCAAAATTACAGTAACTAGAGGAACGCGGTTTTCAATTTAAGATTAGGAATAATAGTGCCCAACTGAAGTGGTATGGACATGTAACAAGGATGGACAACACGCGACTGCCTCAGAAAGTACTAAACTAGCTTCCACAAAAGAGAAGGAAACGGGGAAGACCAAGGACAAACTGGATGGAGGGTGTCAAGAAGGCGATGAGCTCAAGGGATCTGCCTGACGGGGACTGGAATTAACGAAATCAGTGGCGACTAGGCATCGCACAACGTCGAAATACGTTTTAAAAGCGATTCTTATATATAATAATATTTGCAACAAAATTTGTAAGAATATCAAAATCAGTCAAAGCTGCAGTTTTTGAGATAAAAAAAATGAAATATTGTTTAAAAAATTATAACTCAGAAACAAAACAGCTAGCAAAACACGGTTTTCACTTTTTTGTACAGAAATATATTTTAAACAAAACTTAAGATAATATCAAAGTGTGTCAAAGCCGTAGTTTTTGAGATAAAGCCAAAAAAAAACAAGAAAAAAAGAAAATCTGTGTGGAGAACTCCAAACTCCCATCGGACGCGACCCCAGGTGGCGGATAGGGGAAATAACCGCGGACCAAAATTGAAAAAATACCTTTACTTTGAAACTAAAAGAACTGCCTACCAACTTTTTACTAACATATTTTAATATGGGCGGCTATACGTTCCTCCCGGCGCCAATTTTTTTACTTTAGTATTATTGCCGTATTATTGTATTACTCTAACTCTCATGGATTCATATTACTGGGCATTATAATCAACACCTTGACAACACAAAACACATATTACTATACACATTAAACAATCTATGACTTAAATAGCCTATAACTCCCGTGGGCATTATGATCAATATTACAGGGCATTATAATATAATCAACACCTTGACAACACAAAGCACAGATTACTATGCGCATCAAATAATAAATAGGCTATAACTCCCATGAGCATTATGACCAATATTAAGGGGCATTATAACCAACACCTTAACAAAACAGAAAGCAGAGAAAAGGAGATTACTATGCACATTAAACAAACTCGCATAACGTAAATAACCTATAACTCCCATGGGCATTATGATCAACATAACAGGCCATTTAATAATAAACACCTTAACAAACACAAAATAGTAAACATTCACTAAAAAGATTTTATCATTACACTTTGTATTAAAAATTATCCAAAAATTCTGGAAAAATGATGAAGTAAAAAATTAAATATACAAATATTGTGCTTTAATACGCAATAATGCCCATCGTGTGATCCAGGGCATTATTGTCCTACTAATGCTTTTAGGACATAAATATAAATATTGAAATTTTATTTATACCCATAGTTACAATAACCATGACATTTTCTTCCTGTCCCACTGGTCCAAAAACTATGACCGATGGTGTGTCAGGAGCAACAGTGAAATCAGTCAAATGTCTTCCATGGTATAAATGGATTAGTCCATTCTTCATACCCACAGCTACCATGTACATGTTGATATGATCCAGAGGCACTAAGCACAGACATGTTATGGAATTTGTAGTTGTCGCGGACCACAATTTTTGGCCCTAAAATTTGATTTAGTCAAAATTACACAACTACAACAAAAATTCAGATGTGAGCATTATATACAGGGTGGCCCATCGTAAACGTTCCGCAAGGCATAACGGCCAGGGTAATTTTTTTTTTCAGAAAATTCAAAAAACACGTCAATTTTGTTTGTGAGGGGGACAATTTTTGCCCCAAAAATGATTGCAAAATCTTCAACCCGCTAAGCGGGGGTGTCAACCCCCAACTTTTTTCAAGTGGGAAGGGGGTCAAGTGGTACCGCATTGAAAAGGGCTTTCTATTATCAGGGTACATGATCAGGATAAATTTCTTCGACCAATTTGCTGTTTTTTCTTATTATTTCTAGATGTTTACGCATTTTTTCACTTGCCACAAAGATGAACGATCGGATTAGGTAGAGTGTACTTTCTTTTTGAAATGTGTAGTTAATCGGCACAACTGTCGGTACTGGACTGAGGACAACCCCAGGGCTTTTCACGAGGTGCACACACAAAACCCTAAGAAATTGAACGTGTGGGCTGGTATTTTTAGAAATTCTATTGCGAGTCCTTTTTTTCTTCCTGGAAATCTAACAGGTGATATGTACTTGGATTTACTGGAAAATACCATCGATCCAGCCCTAACTGACATCATAGAGAACAATCCTGGATACGTTGAAGCGGAACTAATATTTCAACAAGACGGTGCACCTCCACATTACTCTCAAAATGTACGTAATTATTTAAACAATAACTTTTCCGTTCGGTGGATAGGACGAAGGGGTGCGATTGAGTGGCCTCCCCGGTCACCCGACTTGACTCCTTTAAACTTTTTTCTATGGGGACACATAAAAAGTAAAGTGCACTCCACCCGCCTCATTAGAAACCCTGCGAAGGCGAATTATTGATGTTTGTTGCGAAGTGACCCCGCAAGTTCTTCAGAATGTTCTAGAACGGGTTGAAAATAATTTCTATTACGTATTACTGTATGGAGGTTGACGGGTAATATTTTCAGCATTTTCTTCATTAATAAAATAATTTTTTTTAATTAATTCAAATTATGCGTTTTTTGCAAAAAAGTACTTTTCAAATTTCAGTCTTTCATATTTTCAAAATGACTCGACCGATTTTTAAAAACGAAGCGGGGAAATATAGAGAATAAAAAGCCCTTTTTATTGCGACGCCACATGACCCCCCTTCCCATTTGAAAAAAGTTGGGGATGACACCCCCGCTTAGAGGGTTGAAGATTTTGCACTCATTTTTGGGGCAAAAGTTGTCCCCCTCACAAACAAAATTGACGGGTTTTTGGATTTTTCGAAAAAAAAATACCCTGGCTGTTATGCCTTGCGGAACGTTTTCGATGGGCCACCCTGTATTATGTTGGTTGTAAATAATAGTTATTTATTAAACCATACATCGAAAAAAAAAACGTCATCAAAGACGGCTGCGGAAAGACAATCGATGATTTTTTTTACTTGGCCCGTGATCTTCTTTGTTTTTTAATGGTGCTTTCTTCCAGTTGACCTTATAAAGTTATAGTTTATTTTTATATTAAGTAAAAATAATTTTTAATAGTTCAAAAATTCGAGAAAAAATATTTTCTTGGAAATAGATTTGAGGGTCTGAAAACGTACTATCGTCTTTGATCATAATTAGTGTTAATTTTTGACAAGTTTTATGTCAATTTTCAGTAAATGACGTCTAGAGATTGACCTCGCCAAAATTATCATCGATTGTCATTCCCCAGCCGTCTTTGATTAAAAAACTTGCCTATTTTTTTAATCAAAAGGTTTAGCAATAACAAAATCCAAAAATAAAATGAACTTACCCTTTTTGTATAACAATGCAAACCCTTATCCGCTGTAGCAACTGTTATAAAATTATCTCCCGGTATTAAAACCATGTCAACAATGTCATTAGTGATTTGGATCAAAGATTTCCCCTCAAGCCAACCTTTTCTTAAAATGCATATGTAGCCCTCTCTACAAGCCACAATTATTCTGAACTCTATATCATACAATCCAGAGCATTCTATAATAAACGGGGTTGCTTTAACATTACAAGTGTTTGCCTAAAAAAACACTATTTTTATATTCCAATATAAATAACGGACATCACAGCAACCATTTTGAAATCTCTTTTTTATCAGTTTTTTTTAACTCTTTATTTAAACTATAGTAAGATCATGTAAATTTTCCAGAGGCTAATAAAATAGTTATTTTTGTAGCGTGCGATCATTCCCAAACTAAAAGCAAAACGTTTAAAAAAAGTGACACTCAACAAGCAATGAAAGTCTAGTCAGTCATATTGAAACCCCTTCGCAATCTCGCCAAGTGTCTCTTCTTGCTCTATCCTTGATATAGTTTCTTGTTTGGTTTGGTACAACAAAATAGTAGATAGGAAAGACGTTCTAATAAATAACACAACATTGGAAATAGTAGAAGAGTTTTGGGACAACTAATACACAGCTCAGGATCTCTACTGCCAGAAACCAACAGAAGAATTAAGTTAGCTTGAAATACATATGGAAGAAACTCAATCATATTCAAATCTAGAATGCCACTTTATCTAAAGAAGAAAATATTCGATCAATGTGTACTACCAGCTACCAGTCATGACCTATGCATGCGAAACCTGGACACTTAAAACTGACATCAGAAGGAAACTGCAGGTCGCACACCGCAAATAACAAAGATAGATCGTAAAAGAATAAGAGTAGATACAACAAAGAACCCAGGTAATCGATGTCATTCACAGAATCAAATCCCTCAAGTGGCAATGAGCAGGACACCTGGCAAGAAGGACGGACATCAGATGGACTACAAAAAAATTCCAGCATGGTACCCACAAGGAATTAAGAGACCTAGAAGAAGACCAAGCCTAACAATGAACCATGCTATTAGGAAATTAAGAGGGATAACTTGGACCCGCAAAGCCAACAATAGACAGCCATGGGCTCAATTGCAAGGAGATTATATAAATATGTGAGGGCAGCTACACCATAATTGGTAAATGTTGAATAAGCTGTATTTGATAATGATGATACCTTTCGAATATTTTTATACGTTCTTAAAAAAATAACAGTTGACTAGATGAACCTTACCTGATGCAATATGCTGAAATTTTGAGGATCTAATATATAAATATTTCCAAACTCTGTCCCGATGATTGGACAATTCACAGAGTATTTGTCGTGAGTTGTTTTTTCTATAGTACTCATGCAGGTTATAACATTCTCTTTTGTAGGCATACTATTTATATACTTCCTGATATACTCCTCTATTTTAAGTGGAGATTCTAGGTTTAGTATGTGCTGTGACCTAAAATTATTTAAAAAATATTTATTTTGTCATGTTTTCACTGAAATATTCTATTAAATATTAAATTTAATGCATAAAATTCCAAAAAAAGTTTTGCTAATTTTTAGAAACCTAAAACTGTCATACAAACATTTTACAAAAACATTTTTATTCATAATTGGGAATGAAAAGTACCTACCTGGAGCTAAGTAAAGAAAAAGGAATTTTTTTAAGTTCCTTAATAATATCTTCACTATTAAAATCTTGTTTTTCCATTAAAGTCTTCCATAGTTCCGATTCTTGTTCTGATAAAGGACAAGATGGTACTTTACATTTATAAAAGGGTTTTAGGTTCTTATAGAGAAAAAGCTCTGATCCACATGCCACACCAACAACTATAATAATAAGATTTCGCTTTTTTGTTATATTCTGTCGCATTCGCCATTTTGTCATTAAACTTGCCGAGAATCTTGAACCATGCACAGTGCACAGGGTGTTTTAAAAAATATGCGATCTTTCCTAAGGTACTCGTTCACGTAAAAATAAGATTTATTTTTCATATCAACATAGGTCCGATTCTGCTTTGTTTCATAGCTACAGGGGGTTAACAAGTCAGAGTTCTAAATAAGTGCTCATTGATTCCTCATAAAAAAATATGATAAACGTTCCTATACCTATAAGCATGAGTGTTAAAACTTTAAAAAATAGGTCCTTTGTAATTTTCTTAAATACCAGAATTTTTTTCTTGAATATGTTTTAGGCAGCATTAGGCAGCATCGTTAGGAGACCCAAACGGGAAATTTGGAAGTTACTCAATTGATATCTAATATCTGATATAACGAGGGCTAAAAGGCAGGACCTCGTAAGTACAGTTTTGGCCAAATTGAGATTTTTTATTACTAGCCTATAATTTCTAGGATTATATTAGAAGAAGAATAGGATTTTATTAGAAGAAGAATAATATAATCCTATAAGCATGAGTGTTAACTTTAAAAAATAGGTCCTTTGTAATTTTCTTAAATACCAGAATTTTTTTCTTGAATATGTTTTAGGCAGCATTAAACATCAGTGTTATAAATTTTAATAAAAGTAAATAATAAAATAAATTTAATAAATAATTTATAAATTATATTTTTATTTTAATTTTATTAAATTGTGATTAATAAAAATACAACTTTTGATCAACATTAAATGGCCTATACAAGTTTGCTAACAAGAGGAAAAAAAGCAGTGGCACACATGTTTTTTTTAGTAAAATATTCCAGTAATATGCACGTCTCTGGTGAATCTGTTCACACTTTTTTGGTGCTAAAATACGTAGCATTTACAGTAACTTTTACCCTTAAAATGTCATTGGAATCGCTAAAAGAACTTGGTAGAAAATTATAATAAAAATTGAAAACTTTAATACCCTGTAGCTACGAAATAAAGGAGAATCGGACTATGTTGATATAAAAAATAAATCTTATTTTTATGTCAGGAATCTCCTCACGAGACATTGGGGATGTCGGACACATGTTTGTTGAAACACCCTATATACAGGGTGAGTTTCCTACGATGTTCTCTATGGGTATCTCGGAAACTACTGGAGATAGAGAGTCGGTTAAATGGGGAAAGAATTGCAGTTTTGTGGAGTCATAAATATGCGCCTTTCAGATTTTTGAAAAAGTTCATGGCTTACTAGATATTTCGAAAAAAACAAATTTCGGCTATTTTAAAAAATGTACCTAATTCCATTATAAGCTATTTTAGACAAAAAGTTTTCATATAAAAGTTGTAGATAAATACCATAATGAGGGCTACTATGGTTTCCATTTAAAAAAACATATGTTTGTGTCATATGTCAAAAATGACAGGCTTTAGAAGAGAACGGAGGACACAGTCTCATTACGGATGTGATTATCTACAACTTTTATCTGAAAACTTTTTGTCTAAAATAGCTTATAATGGAATTAGGGATAATTTTTAAAATAGCCAAAATTTGTTTTTTTCGAAATATCTAGTAAGCCATGAACTTTTTCAAAAATCTGAAAGACGCATATTTATGACCCGACAAAACTGCAATTCTTTCCCCATTTAACCGACTCTCTATCTCCAGTAGTTTCCGAGATACCCTTAGAGAACATCGTAGGAAACTCACCCTGTATTTATCAATAAAACTATTTTTGTAATTATTTTACCTGGTATTCTTGGTTCATTCAAGTCAGCATAAAAGCTTATCACTGAGTTAGGTGTGTTTGATAATGCCTGATCGTGTGTCATCAGTGTGCCCTTGTACACTTTCAATCTGGATTTGGTATCATTATCAAGTTTCAGATCTGTAATAACCAAGTGGTAGTCTCCATTTCCCACGATGTCGGTCAAAATGGCATTACGTGGCAACGTTGTTAGTCCTGCTCCGCGATCTGTATGAGCTTCTAGCCATCTTGATACACTAAGTTCGCTAAAAATATTTGGTATTCCTATATTCCATAGGTATAGAACTCCTAGGTGTTTTCCGAATCAACATAATAATAGGGAAACCCAAACGGGAAATTTGGAAGTTACTCAATTGATATCTGATATCTGATATAACGAGGGCTAAAAGGCAGGACCTCGTAAGTACAATTTTGGCCAAATTGAGATTTTTTATTACTAGCCTATAATTTCTAGGATTATATTAGAAGAAGAATAGGATTTTATTAGAAGAAGAATAATATAATCCATTCACGAAATATTGATATATTTTTCACCATATTACGCGTGACAATGGGGTAACAGTTCTCTGTACAAGCTTATTAAGTAGGTATATTTTTATAAATATTAAATACCTTATTAAAAAAAAATATCAAATATGTTTCGTGATTGATGCATTACACGATATTACATATTGGTTTATTTTTTTAACAGTGAAACTGATGGTAAATCAGCGCCATTGACTTTCACTGGACATTCAAAATGAAAGTAATAAATTTAGTTGCATATAAAAAATTGTGTAGATATGGTGCACATCACAATGTTTACAGAAAACAAAACAAAATAAGATTATTATTTTCCTACCTTCTACTCATATTCGTAACATTTGCAGATACTTTTGGTTATGTTTGTATTAGTTTTTGGTTGCTTAGTAACCGTTAAATAGTACTTAAAATAAGGCTGAAAATGTACTACAAACTATACAGTGTGTCCCATTTTCGTGTGTTTTACTCGGTTTATCGTTTATCGAGTAGAGATACAAAGATGCGATTTTCACATCAACGTGCTACTTTTTTTTTGAACCTAAAGATGTTATACACAAATTTGCCATAGCCTTCTTAGTTCTTGAAATACAGGGCGAATTTGAGAATGTTTCATTTTTCGACCTCTTTTGTATTTTGCTAATGTTATAACTTATCGAAAAGGTGAAAACTGAATCCGCTAGAATTTTTTACGTAGAATTCAGTGGCGTAAATAAATTTTCCTGGAAATCACTCTTGAAACATGTTAAACTTAAAACTTGAAACACAGAACCTGCACATGGCTTTGTCCATAAATTCCATTGACAGTTTTGGCTGTCTTTCTGCCTTTGCTTATCAGGTCTGTCCTAAATTTTGGCGAATTATTAAGAGCTTTTTCTCTGTCTCTAACATGGTGATTTTCTCAACCATTCTGGAGATTTGGTGACCACCTATTGTTTTTTGTTCTTGTAACTACTTTTTAGTAGTTACAACGCCGCAAAAGGGTTCTGGACTTCTGGACCTATAACTGGGCACTGATGAGGCTTGTTTTGCTTAATCAATGCCATTCAGTGCCATTCATTTATTAATTTAAAACATATTTTGCAATATTTTTTTTGTATGATTCAAATTGCCTTGAAGGGTGGGTTCTTCACTTTAGACATTTGACATGAGTTCTTCACTTTAGAAAATAAATAATTATTATTTGTTTCTGGTGTTTTGCAACGACATTGCAAATCTAGACATTAGCGGTAAAATCTGCCTCTTTGCAGACGATACTAGTTGGGAGAGGCCCAGATATTAAGGCACTATATAATATTATGTACTACGTTCAATGACTTACACTATTAAATATTGGTGCGATTCTAATCTCCTATGCCCCAACCTATCAAAAACTAAAGTTTTACCATATAAAAGTACTATACAACCTTTTGTACTTAATAACACCACTATTGACGGTGTCGACTCACACATCGAAGCTTTATCAAAGAAACTACGCGCTGCCTGTTTTGCGCTAAGATCAGTTATTAAGGAACTTAACTTATCAACCTCTAGAATAGCCTATTATGCCCTTTTTGGAAGGAAGGAAAGGAAGGGAAATTTTAGCTTTCAAGCCGCATCAGCATCAAAGGCTATTTAGCGGCGTATCATCTGTTACTTTAGTTCGGTAGTATATTTGACAAAAAGTAAAAACTAAACAACACCTTTATAGACAGATTGTATATGTTAACAGTACAGACATTGATCTTGTAAAAATAAAGTAAATGGTACAGAACAACATAGAATAAAACAATAAAACGTAAAAATATGTACAATTTAATTAGTAATTGGTTGCTTTAAAAACCTATATTTTAGATATATATCCCGATCTTTCCAGAAAATCAAAAAGTTTAGGTTGCTCACTTCACCTAAGTTTACCTCACCTCAAGTTTAGGTATGCCCTTTTTGAGTCACATCTTCGTTATGCCCTTCCATTCTGGGGTACTCGCTGCGCAATAAAATTTGATCGTATTTTCAAACTTCAAAAGAGAGCAGTTCGATATTTATTGGGACTGAACAGTAGAACTCACTGCCAGAATTTCTTTAAAAATTTCAAAATACTTACTCTTCCGTCTTTATTCATTTTTGAATCCGTTTCTATCCACAACTATCCACTTAGGAATGCGGAACACGATCTTTATCTGCCAACCCCGAGCTCAGAACTAGTTAAAGGCTCAATACTGTACCTACAATGCCAAAAAAAAATGTAGAATCATCTGCCTTTGAATATCAAGTCGCTTTCATTCTTTCCCGCATTTCGCAAAGCTCTGAAATCATACTTACTGGAGAGAGCCCTATGTGTGGTAAACGACTTTTTTGTTCATGAACAATTTTGAATTTTAAAATTTTGATCATCTCACACACTGGTCAAAAGTCGAGTATTTAATATTTTATAACTCTTAAAATAAAATTATATCCATTTACAATTTTCCTATTGTAAAATTTTATTGATACGCATTTCTTTGTGTCCTGCAATGGCAATGTCCATATATGTTCTATTTGTAATTTTAATGGCTTAATTTTTTTTGAATTGTATGATTTGTATTGTATATTTTTTGTGCTTTTGTTTGTTTTTGTTTTGTGCTTTGTCGATGAAGCAATTTTGGCTTTTTGCACAATAAAGCGTTATTTTTTATTAAAACAATGTAGGTAGTCTATTTACTGTGATTACTATACTTATAATTTACACTCCATTCATCAATTATGACATTTAGCCCAACATTAATTAAAACATCCGGTATATCGCCAATTACCCACTTCCTGTCACGTGCCGCACCGGAACCTGATGAGTCTGATGACATCTGTCTCTCGCCGGTGATCGTTCGGCTCCCCTCACCCCACCTTTAGTATCATCAACGTCTTTTGCGGTCTGTTTACCTGTGGAATCCGCCTTAAATTCACCTGAAAGAATGTTAAACGCCTTTGACGTTACGCTTATTGGAGAACGCCGATGACGGCGGCCGAGTTGGTCGTTTGTCTTCGGTACGACGACTTTAAGCGGTCAACGGTGTTGCCAAAGTTACCGATTTTTCTGAAGTCTCCCTTAAGGTCGAGACACAAGTAAGGACCGCGTCCGTACCAAGGCACAACCCTGTATCGGCCGTCATCCGATATATTTTTCTGTTGACATGATTATCAACAGAAAAATTGATTTTTATTTGGGACACCCTGTATTTTTTTAATTAACTGAAAAGAACTTAAAATTACCTTTCCGAAAATATAGGACACTTGATATTTTATTATAAGATAAGCCCCTTCGAAATACAGAATTTTTAAAAGTTCGCCACTTTTAACTAGTAGGCTATGGACTCTGGACCCCTTATTAATGATCTGCCCCTAATGGAACTTGAAAACATATTTTTCCAGCAAGACGAGGCACCGCCTCAGAACGCTGAAGTTATCAGCAAATTTTAGCCGCCAATTTCGAGAATAATTGAATAGCTAACCAAGATCCCAACTGTTGGCCGTCGAGGCCGCCAAAATGCCTATAGATTTTTATGTTTGTGGAAGAATAAAGGTTCTTATACTTAAATTGCCTGTATAATCTAGACAAGAATTAGAAGTACTTAGCGGTTATGCGAGGGTATCTTTCACTCCCAATGAGTTAATGAATTCCGCGAGAAATGTTCAAAAACGGTTCCGTCTGTCCATAACAGAAGACTGTCGACATGTCGAATACCTGTAGCAAAATCTCATGTCTTGGTTTGCCATTAATTTTTATTGTTATTAGATAGATGTTGATAAATATAGTTTAAATTTTTATAAAATTGTGCATCTCTCATTACAAACATTATTTTCGTTTTAATTGCTGCTCACAGCTAAAAGTTTTTTGCATTACCGGCACCCTTCAAAGTTTACTTATTCAAAGTGGGCGAATTTTTAAAAACTCTATATCTTGAAGAAGAATCGAGCAAAATATCACATATGCTATATTTTGGAAAGGTAATTTTAAATTATTTTCAATGAATTAAAAATATACAGGATGTCCAATATAAAAAATCATTTTCTGCTTTGGAAATGTTTTCATAAAAATACAAAAATTTTCATAGAAAAAAAGTTACAGCGATTTGTTAAAAATGCACCTTTTTGAAAAACACCCCGTAACTCCGAAACGGTAACAGTTGAGCTCCAGACACCAATATTAGTTTTCGTCTATCTTCTATTAAAAAAGGATGTTTCCTTTTCCCTTAAAAAACGTACAATTTGGCCCACCCTTTACCTTTCGAATATGAATCAAGATCCTGAAAATTAATTTCTACCTTAAAATTTTCACCTGAACCTATAAAACCTGGCCCTGTTTTAAATAGAGAGAATTTTAAAAATCTACTGATTTTCCATTCAGCAACGTGGCAACGCCGCTCAGCTGTCCGGTACCGCCAGTACCACCGTGGTCTACTCGTTCATGCGCAAAAATCTCCCGACTTCAGAGTGACCGCGAGCCGAGCTTTCCGATTTGTTGAATTATTTAATTAGTGTCATGTTGTGTACTGGTTATCGGTAGTACTTTTAGTGTTTGTTTATTCAGTGACAGGTGTGCCATACGCGTTGAACTGTTGTGCTACCTATAGTGTCGTCAACAATCAAAGAACAAGATGACAATGTCCGAAAAACAAGAACATTTAACAAAATTGTGTCGTTCACCTCTGATAACAACGAACTACATTTAGTGTTTGTCATAAACAGCATAATCTTTTAAAGGTAAATACGAATTTTAGAATGTATGTCATCGGATAATAACAGAATCTTGCTGTTCTCTTTTAACCTTCATTTTAGTACCCGATAATGAGGATGATATATAAATATTTATGCGAGATTTTAACGTATGCACAAAGAAAATCGTTAATGAAAACTATTAATTAACATAATAACCATAAAGAGAAGGATTGAACGTATTGGAAATGTATTTTATTGTTGTTAAAGTCGAATTCCTAACAGTGATTTTATTTCCAACTAAGCTTTAACACATTTTGTATAGATTTGCCGCGGTTAAGCAATCTAATCCTGCATTAATTTATCCGTATATGTTAATTATACATGATTTATTTTGTTGTTTAAAAGAAACGACAAACAATATTGAATTGCAAGTCATTTATAGTAAAGAGATTTCTGATCTGGAAGACTTTGAATATAAAAGTAATTTTTGTAAAATTAATTTCAAGATACTATCCCCAGAAACGCAATTGTAAATGATAAAATAAATTTTCCACGACCTCTAAGAATTTTAAGACCTCAATAAAATGACAGAAAATAGGATTTACCTGTGAATTAAAATAACAGACACAACTGTCACTGTTTGGTTATGTATCCTCTCTAAATACATAATCTGTGTCCTCTCCTTGGACTGACTATACTCTGCAGGGGATATAAATAAGTTCAATGGGGGTGAGGTAACGCTATGTGAGAGAGCCCTTCTTTTGGAAATTACAAGTTTTTAAATAATAAGTGCGGGTCCGTAACACTTTAGTGCAACAGAGATTAAGCATTTTTTTGAAAAAATAAGGACTTCAGGGGTGTTTTAGAGCAGTATTCTTTCAGAAAAAATGCGGATTTTGACGATTTAAAGGGGAAAAAATACCCATTTTTCCTAACCTCAAACAAGGGCTTTTATCTTAAAATCAATGAATATTTAAAAAAAAATATATAAATTAGTAAAAACCAACCAACCCCACCAAATAACCAACTAACCAATGAATTAACACCCTCCAAATAACCACGCTAACCAACCCGCCAAATGTGCCTAATGACACAACTTCATTGATTACGTGTCGAAAAATAGTATATATTTAAAAAAAGAACCTGAAAAATCCGCAAATTTTATTTCAGAAATTGCTTTAAAATAATCCACACCAACGAATAAGCTACTCGAGGGGTGTCTCACTATTGGAATTACATGTACATTTTCTTGGCAGTCGCTGGCAGTCATTGTCAGTCTTATGGCAGTCGCTGGCAGTCATTGACAGTCTTATGGCAGTCGCCTGTAATAATTACATGGCAGTCATAGGCAGTCTTCTTCGTAGTCATTGGCAGTCGCTTGACAGTGAAAGATTATTTTGGCAGTACGTGTACATTTTTTACCCGAGTGAGACACCCCTCGAAGCTACTAAACAGCGTTCAATTTTTGTTGCACTAAAGTGATAGCTTACCATAAGTGCTGTCATAGAATGTTATTCAGGGTGATCCGAACTGTATTCCGGAAACTTTGGCAACATATTTTGCAGATAAAAATAAGTAAAAAAGTTCGTCAAAATGTATGTCATAAAATGCTTAGTTTCGGAGATACAGGGTGTAGAAATTTAATTTTTATTTCGATTTTTTCCAAATAATTTCTGAAGTAACTTCAATATTTGGATGAAAATTGGTGTCTGGGAGTTTTTTGACATGAGGTATTTGATTTTGATGTCAATATGACTCCTACTTGTAGAGGGCACCACCTACATATTCTTTAACTGTTTTGAAGAATAATAACTTTTCGTCCGTACCTGTATAAATCTATTGAGTAAATAAATATAGATTTACGACTTTTTATATATAAAAAAGGTCTCTTGGTAAAAATCGCTACGAGTAGTGGTTCTCGAGGTATATGGAATCGAATTTATCAATACCTGTCATCATTGACATGAATTAAACATGTTGACTAAATAGTTATTAGACTGAAATCATAAATTTGAAATGTTTTTATGCCAAAAATTCAACAGGAACTGTTTTCATCATTTTTTCGCAGAAAAATTTATGATTAGCTGATTTAAAAAAATAAAAATTTCCCAAACTTATTGTTTCAGTCAAATAACTTTACTTTTTCGTATCCGGATTATATTATGGTTTATTAACCCAGTAATGGGCTACGCCCAATGCTTCCCGTTTAGCAAGGGAGCAAGGAAGGTGCCTCCACGCGTGCATTTTACACATATGTTAAACAAAGAAAACTAAAATGCCGGCGTTCCCTGGAAGCGTTGTCCAAGTGGACAACGGCCAAACCGTCCACCACCGGAAACCAATGCAATCAAAAGTCAAATAACTATCTACTCAACGTGTTTTTTTTTTTGTCAATAATGACATGTATTGACTATTTCCATTCTAAATATCTTGACCATTTCCCAATTATGGCGTAGCCCCCCTTACATATTTAGACTCTCTTTGTAATTGGGCCCATGCGGGTGCAAGTTATCCCTGCTAATTTCCTATATCATGGTCCCATAATTCCTCGTGGTTCCAGGTCTTCCAGGTCTCCTAATTCCTCGTGGGTAGCATGCCGTAATTTTTGTGGTCCATCTGTTGTCCGTCCTTCTTGCCAGGTGTACATTGCCACTTGAGGGATTTGATTCTGTTGATGACATCTATTACCTGGGTCCTTTTGTCGTGTCCACTCTATACTTTTACGATCTTTTTTGGTTATTCCCAGCATATTAGGTTCCAATGAGCGTCGTGCGACCTGTTGTTTCCTTACAATGTCTGTCTTCTTTAGATAAAGTGGCATTCTAGATTTGAATATGATGAGTGTATGAGTTTTTTCCAAGTTGTTTCTACGTCGTTCTAAGGAACTTAACTCATCAACCTCTAGAATGGTCTATTATGCCCTTTTTGAGTTGCATCTTCGTTATGCCCTTCCATTCTGGGGTATTTGCTGCGCGACAAAATTTGATCGTATTTTCAAACTTCAAAAGAGAGCAGTTCGATACTTATTGGGACTAAACAGTAGAGCTCACTGACTCTTCCTTCCTTATTTATTTTTGAATCCGTTTGCTTAATCCGCAAGCACATATTCCCTATTCCGGAAAGGCCTTCTCACAACTATCCACATGTTTAATCATGAACGAACAATTTTGAATTTTAAAATTTTTATCATCTCGCACACTGGTTAAAGGTCTAGTATTTAATATTTAATATTTTATAACTCTTGATTTTATGATATATAACATGATTTTATCCATTTACAGTTTTCCTTTTGTAAAATTTTCTAGATACGCCTGTGTTCTGCAATGTCCATATATGTTTTATTTGTAATTTTATGACGTACATTTTTTTGAATTGTTTTGTATTTTATGACATTTTTCATTTTTATTATTTGTATATTTGTTTTTGTACTTTTTTTTTGGTGAATGCTTTGTCGATGAAGCTGTTTTGGCTTTTTGTACAATAAAGCGTTTTTTTTTTCATCCATAAGTACTCCACACTCCATGCTAACTTAATTCTTCTGTTGATTTCTGGTATTAAAGATCTTGAGCTGTGTATTAGTTGTCCCAAATATATATATTCTATTCTACTATTTCCAGTGTTATGCTATTTATTAGAATATCTTTTCTGTCTACTAGTTCGTTGTACATTACTTGAGTTTTTGCTAAATCCATTTTGAGACCTAGTTCATTAATTTGTGCTTGTAGTTCTTCAGGACTATTGGCAATTAAGACTACTTCATCATTTAACAAATAACTGTTGCTATTTTATTTTTATATGAGAAATTTTTTGAATGAGATGGTATATTCCCAAAATATCGATACATAGGGATGCATTTTATTTATTCTCCAAAAAGAATCTAAAAATATATTAATTATCGCAAAATTAAAGAGCAAAATACAAACAGAAAAATAAAAAAAAATTAAATAATATTGATTATACATACATAAATAAAAATTCTGAAAATCTACAAATAAACTTTTTTCAAATATATATCCAGATTGCCTTGAACTCGCTGTAGATAGATATATTATATCGTACTAAAACAATCACATTTAGGTTACTGTATTTTAATGCTTTCTGTACCTGCTTTGTTACAATTGATTTTATGTATTTTCAACCCACACTGTACTAATGGTTCATTAGGAACAAGAAAAAATATATGTTGTAAAAGTGTTGTTAAAATCAGTAAGTGATTATTTGTAACAACATAAATAAAAAAATTAGCGCCTGTCGAAATATGTAGGTCATGAATATCCCTGATAGCTGTTGACCTTTGAAAAATGCACAATAATGAAAACCCTGATTGTTCAACACGCGCATTGAATCATTCAAAATTCCCCAATTCGGTCAGTGAATCAGAAAGATTCTTGTAACCATCTTGAGGGTAAAGAATTATAAAATATTTGCTAGCATAGAACATACAACCGTAAAACCGTTATTTCAGAATTATATTGATAATATACCAAATTCATCAACAAAACATATAATGCCCATATGGGCAGTATGATCCATATTACAGAGCGTTGTGATCCTTTCACAATACAAAGCAAATATTACCATGCCCATTAAAAACTTAAAACTAAATATTTTAATTATTATCATCATCATCATCATCACTTCCAGCTTATTCAACCATTTTCAATTATGGTGTAGCCTCCCTCCCATATTTAGATAATCTTCCTGTAATAATTGTGCTTGTTGTTGTCTATTGTTAGTTTCCTAATATCATGGTCCTATAGGTTCGGTCTACTTTTGGGTCTCTTAATTTCTCGTGGGTGCCATGCTGTAATTTCTGTGGTCCATCTTTTGTCCGCTCTACTTGCCAGATTTCCTGCCCATTTCTACTTGAAAGATTTGACTCTGTGAACTACATCTATTGCCTGGGTCTTTTTCTTTTTAACTCTTTCTGAGACTTTCTGGAGTTTCTTTGTTACTCTTCTTTGTTACTTAAACTCACTTACCACTCTGGCTGTATGAGGCCGTGCATTGTCATGCATGAGAATGAAGTTTCTCCCAAAATCATT